CAATGACCAGGAAAGTGCTCTCTTGCTGCATATTGAGGCATATTAATAGATATCTTGTCAAAGAATACAATATATGGTGGGTGGAGTGTGATTATTTCTACAACTCATGCTTCTTTTTAAAGGTTCATTTTGTCTCACACTGGTGGTTACCATGACCCTCAGCATTCACAGAGAGCTGAAAATGAGAAGTGGGATTTTTTTTTTGCCTTTAGGAACTCTTTTGCAGACTGTGATTTTAGGTAGATTAGTCTTTAAATTTTTGTCTAATATTAGTTCCTTTGAATTGACAGGTCTTTTGTGGCTTTTGCCATCTTAAATTGAATTCAGTAGTTTAAGCAGCACTCTTCAATTATATCGCCATTCTTTTTAGGTGAATATGAACAGATGGAAAGACAGAGGGGGTGGTATATTAGCAATAAAACTCCAACTGCATAGTTAGCCTCATGGGGGTTTACAGTGTATTGCATTTAGCAATGTGATCAGCAAGGAAACATCTAGGTTGTTTAAAATACATCTTTCTAGGAAGAGGTCTTTGTTAGGCATTTTCTTACAGTGAGGCAAAAAAACCTAGTATCAACTGGCCCCAGAATATATGTTAGTGCTTCTTTTTTTTTTTTTTTTTCCCCCCCCTCCTTGCGTTAAATCAATTGGGTTTTGGGTTAAAAAACTCAAGGCTTCATTAGAATGTTCTTTCCTGAAAGGTGAAACACTCTCTCTCTTAGGCAGACATTGGTTAACCAAACTCTTTGCTAAAGCAAAAAATCTGGGCAGGGGTAGGGAGTTCTAATCTCAATTAGTAATTCTACATTTATTTCATGAGTGTAAATCTACATTTTTGTTCTACCAAACAGTGCAACAGTATAACCTGTTAATGGCCCTTGAACAATAGCATCCTTTTTCACACTCAGGTAATGACTCTACAAATCTTAAAGGAAGCTAGATAGGGAAGTTCTCGCTTTTTTTAAAGCTTATTCTACAGTCTCAGTTATTGCAAATGGGGAGCACAGAAGGGCATAAGGAGACTATAAAGGCATAAGAGCCTTTAAGACTATAGCAGGAAAAGACCATTTTTAAAAATGCTGTGCCAGACATGAAAATTTTAAGGTAACTTTAAACATACCTTTTTGTCTCTCCTCCCTGTGTTGTTTTTAAACAGGTAAAAGCCTTTCTTCAACCTCCAATTGAAGGCATTGTACTTGAAACTTATGGAAGTGGCAATGCCCCAAACAACAGAGAGGACGTGCTGGAAGAACTGAAGAAAGCAACTGAACGAAAAGTAGTGATTCTGAACTGTACCCAGTGCTTACGAGGGTCTGTTAAAACCGTCTATGCAACAGGGCAGGTGAGGGTGGTGCAATGAAAGAAACATCCCACTGATACAACTTGATTGCAAACTGCTAGTAGTCCCACTGTATAAAGCCAGCTTTACTGACTGTAAAGTTATTGCTCATAAAATAAGTGCATCTGAAGAATCTTAATCCAGAGGCGTTTAAATGTATATCTACAAACAAGATCCAGTTACTCCTGGTCTGAACGGTGGAGATAGGCAGCTCAGTTCTCAAATTAATGATTGCTCACTCCTGTCATGTACAGCACTCCAGGATACTGTACATTAGATTGGTAGTAGCTCAGAGGGATTCCATTGAGCTAAAAGCTGGTTTAGGGGTCAGATGTTCAAATAAAGTAGCTCTTACTAGGATAGCAGTCCCTTAGGTACAGTGTAGGAGTATCAGGAGAAGCTGCAGATGCAAGCAATATTCCAAACCCCAGTTCTTTATTTGACTGGAAGTACAGCTGGATTCAGTGCAAGATTGGAGAAAGGTATGTAAAGAAGTGTCTGTCTTGAAGAATGGAAATCAGTTTAGTTTAACCCACGAGGGCTAGTTTAAAGCAGGCTTTGTGTACATATTGTTAATGTTCAAGGCCTTTTATAGTGAGTTGCTCAACTGTGTATTATCACATGGCTATTAAGAGCTCAAAGCCATACAGCAATATGAATTGCGTGCAGTAGTGTGAAGGAAGCTGGCTTAACTTTAGAAAAGTTTGGCCTTTAGAAAAAGACCAGCCATTAAACAGCCAAGAAGCTCTACCAGAGGGTGACTCATCCTGCTGCTTTAGACACCTGGTTTTGTTGGGAGCAACCACCTGTCTGGCAGAGCCGGCCTCTTCATTGACTGCATGGCAGACCTAAATACCCTAGTCTGGTGCTGGAACCTGTCTCTTCTAACTCTGGGTTTGACACAGCTTTAGGCTGTATTTGCACGTGGTCTGTTTTGAGGAGAAAGAAAAGGAGATTGTAAGAGTTTTTCTTCACCTCCTTGGCATCCAAACTTGGCATTTTCTGACGTAGGCAGTTATTTGTGTGTTTGTAAAACTTTTGTGTAACTTAATGGAGATGTTTTGAAAATCATTGACTTTCAAAAAGATCCCATGCTCTGTAGCAAATACTATAGGAACATGTGGAATACATGGAAAAATTCACATGGAATTTAAGTCAGTAAAAGACAAAATTTGAAAAATAACATGAAAATGAAGACTGGCTTTTATGCTATCTTCTGCTTGAAATAAGCTGCTAAAGTATATGGAAGGAAGAAAAAAAAAAGCCATTTCTGTGCTCTGGTCAAAAGATTCTTGAAGTAGACTCTTCTAAAATGACTTTGTGCACTCTGATCCAGGCTGTTGATATACTGAATTGAAAGATTCTGCTCAGGTTTTACTGAATCACTGTAAGCCTGTGAGGAAACATGTTCCCTTCTGGATTCTCCTTTTTATATGGAGTATGTTCTAAGTTGCTTCAGCATCAGTTGATGGAGGCTGCCCTGTTTTCTTGGCATCTTTTGAGGGGAAAACTGACTGAGCCAAGTCCTACAAAATTACTGCATGCTTGTCCTTTCATTTCTTTCTCCTTTTCATGAGGAACCACTCAGTGGAGAAAGTATCATGGGTGAATGCTGTAAAGTTGCTGTAGTGTTAACTTCACTTTGATTTTTCTCTAAATGAAATATTTCAAAGGTCTTTGCACATGGCTGGGCCAGTTTTTACTCATACAAGCCAGCCAGGTAGGTCATCTGAATCCCTGGTTTCCCTTGAAGTGTTTGTTTTAATTAACTCAGTGTCTGGCCTCTGATCCATCTACACAGTACAAACTTATAACTGAGGGGACTTTAGGTATAGGAAGGAAGCTGGGAAATCCCTTCCTCCTCCTCTTTCTCAAACCTGCTAAAAAAGCCCCAACTGTTCTTTGATTAGTTCTGCAGTACAGAAAGTATTTCTCACCTTCTCTGTATGTTTTTCCATGGGACTTAAAAAAACGTTAGTCTGGGTCTCTCAGAGGTGGTTAATGAGCTAATTAAGGCTCTGTATCTTGCTGAAAATATTAGTTAAGCCACAACAAGTTTTGAAGCTTAATTTTATATACAAGGGACTTAACAGTAAAATGCAGTGCAAGAACCTAGTTCAAGATGCATAACTGTGAGGCATCACATTTTGGCAAAGAAGCTGCTCTGTGATTTGCCCAAGTACAGTTTAGGGACAAGAGATCTGAAATCTCCTTTGTCTTTGCTGTTTTCTTCATTCATGAGGCTTGCTGATCACAGCAAAGATCCTTCTTTTTGCTTTTGTTCAGATTATTTTTTTTTAACTACCAGAAAGAAATGTTATAAAGGTCATCTTTTTCAGTTGTTCTTGTCAGAACTGTGTAAATTACATATTTTAGTTGCATCTTCTAAATCATACACTGCTCACGCAGCCTGAAAGGATCTGAAAGCACTCCTGCTGTGAGCACACTGTAGTGCTGGAATTCATCCAAAGTAATGCCCCATAAAAGAATGGTAAATATGTCTGTGTGAGAACAGCCTACTTGGCAGTGTTCAAAATGCCACTGGGTTAAAACAGAGTAACTGCAGCTTTTCAATAAAGGGAATCTGACAACTCTGCAGATAGCTGATACGGACCTGTAACCTTTCCCTTTTAGCATAGCAAGCGACCGTGGCAAGCATTTGGTGGAATTCTTCAGTGTTACTGCATGAAAAGGAATTTAAAGTAAAAGTCATCTTTATTCAGTTTGCTCTAGTATTTGCTTGCTATTTGATAACTAAAATTACAAAAATTACAGTGGCAGTAGGAGGAGCAAGAGAGTGGAGGCTCGGCTGCATAATGTATTCTGTGTAGCTGCTCATCATTTATATGCCTTTTCTGGACACACAGGTATTTCTGAGTGCTGTGCTAATTGGAATCATTATTCCTTTTTTTTTCAGACTCTTGCTGATGTTGGAGTAATTCCTGGAGGTGATATGACACCAGAGGCAGCCCTAACTAAACTGTCATACACGCTCGGCAAGAGAAACCTTAGCTGGGAGGTGAAGAGGCAGGTAAATATTTGTGTGACCTTGAAAGACTTTAAGTTTCTCATCTACTGTGCTAACTGCTGCTTAGCTTCATGCCTTGAGCTTCTCTCTTGCATTTAAAAGCAATTGTTTCCAGAGCCATAATTGGAACACCCTGTGTTTTTTTTTTCTTACGGAAAATACTATTAGACAAATAAACATATGTAGATTTGGAGAGAAAAAAATTCCCTGCATAAGTCAGGTGTGACCATGACTGAGCCATAAAAATGACATCTTTAAATGGTAGTAATCTAGCTTGGATATTCTTTGTACTGAAAACTCTATGTGGAAATTCATATGGGAGGCAGAACCTCATCCCTACTGAAGTCAGCAAAGATCTCATCACTGATCTTAGTGTGGTAAAGATTTCATCCCAGACTCATTCACACACAGCTAATTCTGAAAATAAGTATTACCTACAGTTTCTTCCTTTACAGCATTACTCATAGGAGTATTAGATTTTATTTCTCTAAGAGGAGATACACTTTATAATACATAAAAAATAGAGGATTATTATTGTAAGGACCAGCTGCTTTTAAAATCAGAACCCCTTTAACAATGTTCTTTTTGTTCATTGGTTGCTTAATCAAGGCTTTTTTCTGCAATTATATAGCTATTTATCGTGTTCCTTTTATACAAGGAACGTGTAGCTATGAATTAGATAAGGGAGCAGCATTCTGCAGGAATATCTGCTTGTATGCAGTGAAATCATAATCCTGACACTTGGGGAGCTGACATCACGATGAATCACTCTCCAGACTTAACACTGCATGCACATGTGTATTTCCCGGTGGTGCTTTGTTTTTATTAAAACTGAAACAAATTTGATCGGTATTTCATCCTCCATATCTTCCAGCCAGTAGCAGCTGTTTAGACAAACAATATTTGTATACCTGTGATCAGAAGTGTGGTGGCTGGAAGTACCACATACTGTGCTTAGAAACAGTTTCAGCCTCGGAGCTTTCAGTTGTTTGCTAAAGCCCTGGCTCTGAAAAATGGGAGGAGTTATGTGTGTCTTCAGTGAGGATGTCAGGAACACGCTCTGTGCAGGAACATGCTTGGCAGGCAAGACAGTGCTGTGTGAAGAGCAGTGTTCTTGGATGTGTTTGTGCATATACACTTCAGAAACCCCCAGCTCTTCACTGGTGCCCCTTTGGCACACTCACTGACCCTGGAACGTACGTGCACCAGCTTGGAGGTTTTTTTTAAATGCAAACTTTAATCTTCTTGCACAGAGGATTATTTGACCTGGGACAGGAGAAACCCTCCCAGCTGGCTTCCTGCCTAGGTGTGTGAGTTAAAACTTAATTTGAGATCCAGTTTGCCAAGGTGAGGCAGCTGAATTACTCTGGTGAGGATTTGATGATGTTTTAGGTACCACTGGCACAAGGTACTTTTACATCTTCATGTGCTGCCCTTTGGAATGTACTACACAGTTTTTGTGTTGTGATATGCTGGGCCTCCTTTATATGATTTGAAAAACAAAATTACTTCTGTAATTCCTTTGAGTTATGCAGGATTAGTTTCCTCATTTTACTCATTGTACAGACCCACAAACAATTGTGTTGGCACAACTGGGGGAGCAGCATGCTGCATTGCCTGGGCAGGAATGAGTGGTAGAGACCAGGAGAAGAAAGCCTGAAAACATGTTGTCTGTGGCAATATCTTCAGCTAAACATATCACCAAACAATAGTCTCCCAAGAGACGGAAGCTCTCCTGAAGCTGGCCTGGTTATTTTAGGATTCTCTTTCAACATGAAGAAGCAAGGAATGTGCCCCCAGACACATACAAATGTGTGAAGAGCTGGGAGGACTGAGTAAGGCACGCAGGGCTTTGCACTGGGTGCATTTAGCACAGGTGCCAATTGCTAAGGTTACCTGTCTAAAGCAATGATCTCAACCTGTCAAATTCTAAAAGTGTGCCAAAGCTCTTGGTATCCTGAGTTACATGGATGTGGGACTCTTCCAGGAGACAGCTATGGTGTTGTCAGCTCTTGGATGTGTTTTGTTTTTTTTTTTAATAAAGGGCATGCCTAGACATAAGTAAACCTGGGGCATTCCTCCTTCCAACATCACATCTGTTTCTTGCAAACTTTCACAATCCTGCTTTTTAAAATTCTAATTGAAATAACTATGGGCTTTATAGCTTCATCAGCAACCTTTCGTGAAAGAGTGCCAGTATGTAAAGTTGTCAGAATTGAGGAAACCAGTTACTTTTTTTTAATAACTGGCTTCTATCTGTGTTCTCCAGATTTCCCAGAATCTGTCTTTTGGAGTATCTTCATTTCATTTTCTTTATTGCCCCATTCAAGTACTTTCTACACATGAATTGGCTGACCTTTTTACATTTTGATTTGGGTTTTTTTTCCAAGTTATGTTGGATGCACCCATCCTGCAAACTGTTACATGCCTGTTTGTGCACTGACTGACTAGTACTACTGCAGACCCTCTGCATTCAAAGCTGGATCTATGGCCAAATTTTAACAAAATCAGGGCTAATGGAGCTGTTTGAAAACCCGTGGAAAGTCACGGCTGTCCACAGGCAGCACTGGGCTTTGTTTTGAGGCCTGTGTAGACAGTCTGTGTAGGAGTCCTGAGGTTTGTGAATGCTGGCAAAAGGCAGCATTTCAGAATATTCTGGTCTTAAGCCTCACTCTGCTCATTACTCGCTATCTTTGTGTTTTTAAGTAGGCTGCAGCTTACCCCACTAGGGAACTTTTGTCTGCTTACTCTGAAAATGGGGGTGTTTTGTTATGTGCTTATTTTGGTTTCTTTGCTTTGGAAGAAAGCTTTGTTTCCCTGTCTCTTGCCCTCCTTTGTCTTTCTGAACGTGCAGTCTTCATGGGACAGTAACTATTTCTTTAATCTTTTGTCTGCATTTAATTAGTTTCCATAATTCCTCCAAACAATTTTCTAACTTGATAGTAAGGTTTTTTATTAGACTACCACTATACTTTTTCCTCTGCTAACAAAGGGTTTGATTGCTTGCTTTTCAGATGCTGAGTGAGAATCTAAGAGGAGAAATGACTGTTGTACGCACGGGAGCCAAGATCTCTCTGAGAGATAGCAAGTTTATACAAGTGATTGCCAAATCTCTAAGTATCAGCAGCAAGGAGGTATATACTTAAATATTTAGAATTAATATCATGTAAAGCTGCAAACTCAGTTCAGTGAACCTAGATTAAAGACGAAGAGCAGAGCTGAAAGAAAAATTGAACACTGTAGGCTTTATATTATTTTTTTATTTTTTTTTTAGTTCTGAGTGTCCCAGCTAACCAGTTGAGTTAGGGAGAAAGGACACAATGACACCAAAATGTTTTTAATTAAAAACATATTAACTTTCCCCCTCCCCCTCTTTGTAGCCCCATCTTGGGCTTATTTTCTTGGCTGACTGGTTGCAACAACAAACCTCAGACAGATGCTATAATTCAGGGTATCAATGATATGAAGAAGTGCTTTGCATTTTTGTGGTCAAATGTATTGACAGTTTGGAGCAATCCAAATAATAATGGGTAAAACAGCTTAATTTTACATGCAGTCATAGAAGGCTAAGGAAGCACTACTTAAGTGTAGAGACACTTGTGGTGGTTGCTATTAGTCCTTCTCAACTGGAAAATTAGAAAAGATAGTATTGGTTATTCAGATGCTCACTTTTCTCTTGTCTTGGTTTCAAGGAAGATGGGATTTATTAACTAATGAATACTGAATGTATAGCTCTTTAGTGAGCATGAGAAATGAGAGGATATTCAGGGGACCTCGGGGGCTTCTCAGGGTGCACAGGTGTCTGAGGAATTGCATGAATAAATTTGATCCAGTCTTGAGGAGGCTGGACTACATGATCTTTTCCAACTCCCACTAGCGCTGTTTCTCTTACTGTGCTGATGAGTAGCTGTGGCAGTAGAGAGATGGTAATTACTATGTGCACCTTAAGTGGTCTATATAGATATCAGGGACTTGTAGTGTTGCCACGGAGGAATAGAAATCTTATGGATGTGAGACCGACAAAATGTAAAATAAACGTGAAACTTCTTTCCTTCCAAGAACTAAATGCTACCATTTTTAAATATCTAAGTGACTGATTTGGACACTTTACAGGAAAGCAGGGGTGTTTTTTTTATGACTTGGATATCAATCCCATCAGAGGCAAAGCTGATATTAAATGTTTAATTTTATTTGTTTCTCAGGAGCTAGAAGCCGCAAGAGATGCATTGATTCCACCTTTGGCTTGTGCTGCAGCCAAACTGGGTGACATAGACGCACTAAGAGCCATAGCAGAAATGGTAATGCAATATTAACAGTTTGTACAAAACATTAATTTTTAAATAGAGCTGTAACTGATGGGGGGAAGATATGCTCCCTGGAATAAGTCTTAGAATCAAGGTGCTTTGACTATTACAAGATCTTTGCCTATCAAGACTGGTGTGTTCTTTCCCCTCTCTGATTTTCAGCTGTTTATATTTTCTTTTGAACTGTGAAAATACAGGTAAATTAAAATGCAAGTTCTTATCTGCTAACTTTGGAACATTTTTAAATGGTTTGTGCTGCTTTCTTTTCGCTTAACTTTCTATATGCATATTCATAGTATCCAGCTTTTGGATGTAAATCTGTCATGATTAAAAAAGAGAACTTGAAAATTATATTTAAGCAAAACAGAGTGCAGTGCTAATTCAGGATTTCTGGCTCTCCCCCTAACTCTAACGTTGGTTATACCTGAAAAAAGAAACGAGCATTTCCCTGTCTTCTCTTTTTTTTTTTCCCCCCCCTCTTTGCCTTGGTTTACCCTGCTCTTGAGACTTTGGTAATGGGCCTTGAGAAAGAATAAACAAAGACAAGTAAAATTAGCAGTCTATAGGCACAAAGCTGCTGTATAGCATGCTGAAATAAAGAGCATATCTGAGGGGGGAAACATGCAGAAGGTGAAATAAATATCTTTATTGGCACTGAAACAATCCTACAAGATTGACAAGCTTACCGATTTGGTGGCAGAATTAAAATGTGAAGTATGCACCTACTGTGAGACGTATGCAACAACTTAATGTGCAGCCATTATTTTTTTAACATGTCAAGGATATGTCCTTTTGTAGGGTGGAAACCTGAGCTGTGGAGACTATGATGGCCGAACTCCACTTCATATTGCAGCCTCTGAAGGGCATTTACCACTAGTTGAGTATTTGTTGACGTCTGGCGCGACTGTTTATGCTAGAGACAGATATGGATCTACCCCACTGATGAATGCGATCAGGTTCAGGTAACAATTTATGTACTACTCTATGTAAAGTTTATAGACCTCCTATAATTTTAGATTTCAAGTCCATCCTTGCGTTTTGGTCTTGTTTTGTCTCAGCAGTCATGTGTAAATTACAGCAGTTGAAATAACACTTACCAGCTGTATTTAAAAGGATTTGACTAGCCTAAATGAAAAAAAAAATTAAAAATATTATGAAATGAAAGCAAGCAACTTGGTATGCATGCAGAATTTTAGCATAAGGTAACCTATTGCTGTCCTCCTGCCAAGATTTTGTCCATAATTTCAGGGCTCCACTCTTTATTCTGAGGCTTCCTTATAAAACAGAGCCAAACTGATCACTCCTTTTGACTGTCAGAAGTGAGAGTGCAGGACCATGGGCTGTCTGTTTTCTTTCTGCCCTTCCCTTTCTCATCAAGACCAGACTGTTTCAGTTGGCACAAAGTATACGGGTAGGTTGACATGTTTTAATCTTTCCCTTCCACCAGTGCTTTCCTGACTCTCCTGCTGGGTGACTGGTTTTCTGATTTTTCCCTTCCGCCCACTCATAATTATATGGGATGGCTGCATGGCCCTGCCTGCTTTGTGGATTTCCTCTTCCTGCTGTTATGAATGTCAGCAGTTCTGGAGTGGTAGCATTTGCAATTTACTGGTCTGTTCCATGTTGTATAGTCCTAAAGAATGGCCACAGCACAGAGTGTAATAGTTATGGGTAATCAAAATTTCATTTTAAAACACTTCGTTTGTATAGCCTGGGGATTCATAGGGCCATTGGTCTTCTAACATGTTAGAAGCTGCAGAAAATAATCTCTCCTTGTTTCTTTGATCCACTTTCAGCTCCTTATCTCATATTCAGTTTGTATCGTAGCAGGTGAGAAGCCATTTTTTTCCTGTACAGGAGCTTGAAATGATTGAATTTTCTTGGTCTTTGTGGATGACTGTCCCCAAATATTCCTACAGCTTTCTAATGTTGACAGGTTCACCTGGTTTGTCAAGCTGGAGTTAGCTCCCTGGGAGGTCTGACAGTCTGGGATTACCATTGGCTGCAGGAATAACTTGAAGGCATCTTCTGTTTCAAAGACCAGATGTAGAAAACTCAACAAGGTCTATCTATTAATGTGGGACTTGAAGTCCTGCGTGGCCACACTGTGCTATTGCCGTACCTACTGCATGGTCCCTCATGGCTTTGTAGCTGTTGCTTTACCTCATGAATGTATAAGCCCTTCACTGGAAAACCCTTAAAGTCTTAAAGCAAAAACAAGCCCAACAGCAAATCAAACAAATAACCTCGCAGTTGAACAGAGGTGGCTCTGGTCCAATGTGAGAAAATGCTAAAGCATTAGATACTATTAGATGTTCCTGCAAATCAGGCGCCTACTTTTTTTACCGCACCCATCCACCGCCTGAGGAATTTCACATGAGCTTGTTGTTTGGATTCCTCAGCATTGCCACTCCTATATTAGACTCCTACTATGACTCTTAAGCTCTTTAAAACTGCACACCCATTTTGATACAGGGAATTGTAAAAGGAAACTGCACCATAACCATTTTCAGTTTCTCTTTTTGTTTCTACTGTTGGAATGAGAGGAAGAGTTGACTTAGAACTAATCTCATAAATGTGTATTGATGGTCTGCTGTGTACTCACACTGCATTTCACACTGGTAAGCATATAAAGGAGAATGCTAAAGAGCAGACAGCTGTGTGTGTCTGTAATTAGATACCCACTAAAAAGATCTCTGCTGCAGAAATATTTAAATTCCACTTATTAAACAGTTGCAAGTTGAAAGTGAAGAGATTATCCTGATGCAGTATACAAAGTGGCAGAGAGGGAAGGGGGGAAAACTGATGTTAATGAGTAGTCAATGCTTTAAACTATTTAATATTGTAACTTTCTCAATTTTACTGAATATTGCATCAGCTTAATCCCATTTTCTGAGAATTAATAATTGTTTAATTGGCATTTAACTGCAATACAGTATCCACTCATCTTAAAAATAGCTTTCTTCTAGTCTTTTATGTTACATTTGTCAGTGGCTTGCCTTTTAACCAGCATGCAAACCTATATAAAGATGACTGATTTCTCTTTTCCACTTAATGATTTGTAATGATCAGGATTTATGTGTCTTCTTAAAAGCTTCTTAACATAGCACTGTCAGCTGAGAGACCAGCAACTTGATCTATGTCTGTGACAGTCTCTTAAATTTTTTGACTTTAAGTGACTCTTTCTTTGTTTCTTTCTAAATAAGAAATAAACTACTGCATTTCCGCTTTTTCATTTGAAACTCTGCAATTTGCTTGTAGTGTTGTTCACTTTAGGCATGAAGCTAAACAGACCACTGTTAATTTAGGCCAGTTGCTTGACATATCAAAATAAGTGGCATTCCTTTAATTTTTTACAGCACCCTCAAGGGATAATTCATTTTCAAAACAATAGAATAATATTTTTTTTAATAACAGAAACTCTCTAAGCAGGAAAATGTCTTGAATAAAAATTGTGTATATTTTAAGTAGTAAAAGCACTTCCATTTACTTGTAGAACAGTGGTAAAAGGTTGAAAATGGGGAGTTGCTCATACAGTGCTGTGAGAACATCAGATTAGAGGCAGTAAAATTACCTCCCACGTAAATATGAATTTAAATACTTGATATTTTGCAAGGTTACATTTACATTACTTCAGGAAATCTAAGGCAGAGTGAAAATCTAACCACCACTGACTCCAGAAGTACACCGAAGCCTGTCCTTACAGTGTTTAAGCATAAAATTCCCACTGATACCATGCAGAAAACCAAACAAGTGAAACTAAGCTGATCCTGCCATAACCATTCCAGTTGCTAGGAGAGCAAGCATGAAAAAGAATGAAGCCAGTCAAGTTTGGATATACATTACACCTGCATTTCTTTAAAGAGAGTTGGTGGAAGGTGTGCACCCTAAGGCCCCAATCCTACAAACTCTTACATGTGTGTTAATTTCACATGTATGATTCATCCCTTTTGAAGTTGATTCACTTTAGTGCGTGTCTGCCAAGTGAAGGCCTGAGATCGTATGTACTGTACAGAGCCTTGATTGCTGTGAATCCAGAGCCCTCATGAACTGGGAAGAGTTCAGATGTCTTTATCTGGAACTCAAACTTTGCTCATAGCGCTGAGGGTCGAACACTGCACCAAATCGTATGTTGTGCTATTAATACATTAAGGTATTAGTATACACTGGAGTTTTTATGCCCAGTGGTATCAATAATGGAACCTAGCAGAGAGGAGACACTAGAAAAACCTTTTATTTGGTTTTTTCCTTCAGAGAGGGATGAATGACAGTGATAGTACTATCAAAAGGCTAACTTAAGTGACACATGCAGAATAGCATTGTTTCTATAGCCTGTGTCTGACCATGGTTTGGTAACAGGGTGGTCTAAGAAAAGGGAGAGTCAGGAACAGCTCACAAGTGACAGTGCTTATCAGGCAGGGCTAGAGTGGGACATGCAGCCGTGTACCAGGTGGTGATGTTGGCCTTCCCTCTACACATTGACCTTTCATTGTCCAGCAGTTCCTCTGCTCTTGGTTTTGTGCTGTCACTTTAGAACAGGAATTGCATTTGAACCGTTCCCAAGAAGTTCATGGCTCATGACATGACCTGAACTTCAGATCAGCTAAACTGTGACCCTTGTGAGGCTTTTGTAATGCCACAGGAGAGCAGCACTTAAAGAAACAATTTCTAAAGACAAATACCTCTCATGTGCCTAAGACATAACAGTATCTGAAAATTCACAGCCAGCCTCTTGAAATATGAATAATGCCCTTGTGGTAGGTACAAGACAGCAGAAGTGGTGCTCTGGTTAGGGCTTAAGTTCCTTCAGAATGCAGATAGCGTTGGGGTGCGAGTAGGAACAAGCTGTAGTGCAACTCACCTCCCGCATAGTTTTCATGTTGAGTGATGGGAATGTGAGAGGTGGTCTCTTTGCTTTCTTGGACAGATCTGCACTTCATAGTCACTAAATTTAACACTTTTAAGTTGTGCTTTACTATTTATCCCTATTCTTCCTCTCCCTCACCCTTTCTCTAACAAGCAGTAGTGTGCAACACTTCCTCTTCTTCACACTGTACCAAGAAATGTGATTTTGATTGACTTCCAGTCATTGGGACATTGTATTTCTATTTAGAAATGCTTTATTGTAAGCATTTATTGTTAGTTAACACTGTTAGTTTCAATGCTTAAAGATTTATTTTATTTCAAGCCACTTTTTTTTCCTCATTTAAGTTTCCTGTATTAAATAATCAGGGTAAATGCTCCCAAATCTGTCTGTACTGAAGATTTATAGAGTCCCCCTCAGTGCAGTAATGGCTGTGTGGTGTAAGTGGGACTTAAAGTGCCTTCTGGAGGGAATTTTGCTACCGGTGAGGAGTAAATAGTTACAACAGGAAGAGAAAACTTGTTTTTTTGCTGGAATCCAGAGATACAGAACCTCACAGGGGGAGCACACTGAGGGAAGATACCACACAACATTACATGCTTTGCTGCCTTTTATCTTTTAGTGCTGTCCCATAGCACAGCTTTGATTTTAAAAAGTGCTTGTTTCATGCTTCGATTTCCCGCATAAGGTGGGAAATGAGGAATACTCCAGGGCAGTCGTTGGAGAGTAAACAGACACTCCCCATGTTTAGTTCAGTACCCAATGAAAGCTTGAGGGAACAGACATGCTCTACTTTTAATCTATTTTAGGTCAAATTTCATTTCAGCTAATTACTGTTTTGCTTAAGACTAAGAATTAAGAAACTCATACATGCAGAATTCGTTCTACACCTCAGATTGAAAAATAGGAAACCATGCCACTATTTGCTGGCTCAAGGAGATGCTTGTGGATGACTAGCCATGTCGTAAGGGACCCACCTGAGAAAATATTTTAGATAACTGAACAAACTTGAAGCGTGTGCTGTTCCAGCAATGCTTTCCTATGAAACAAAGGAAGATTTTTTTTTTTATTTTTATTTTTTGGCTGTCAATTGAAACAAAGCACAATTTTAAAAAAATCAGCCTGCCAGGTTAAAAAACCTATGTTTGGAACTCCAAAATGATTCTTAGAGCATATGTACAGGCTTTTGGTTACTTTATAAACTAAAGATCTTACGTGAAACACACAAGCTTACATAGGCTTTATATGGATAACTGTAAAGTAGCTTCTGACTGCAGATGGAGTTTCCTAAAAGGAGGCAAAGGGATTAGATAAGCAGTTTAATCCAGTTGAAATTAATGGAATAAAAAGGCCCATGGCTATCACCAAGAAAATGCAAGTAATTAAGCACAAACTGTATGTGAGCTTATTTTTTATTTTTAATTACTACAGATGAGCTTTTAGCTAATGGATTGGAAAAGCTCATATATTTCCTATTAAATGATAAGCCTACCTCTTTTTTTTTGAAGTATTGTTGTATAGCAACTTACTTAAAATAGGAACTGTGAAACTATTCCTGATCTACTGGGTCATCATGCTCTTTCTGGAGGAAAAAACCCGTGCTTTGATTTATAAGCCAGATCAGTTATTTAGCAGAGGAGCACTCTGTCACCTCCTTTTCAAACCTAGTTCTAAACCTTTCACCAGGTTACTTATGAAAAACGTATTTTTACACATTTTTGCATCTGTTGTGTTGCTGTCTACCCACAGCAGTACCTTTGGAGAGCAGCCTTTTTGAAGCCCTAAGAACTCGATTAGCTTCCCCATTAACCTAAAGATTTATTGCTTATCTGCAAGACACACGTTTCATGTAAGACTGATATATATGGGCATTGTATTCTTTAAAATACAGGAATGATGCTATGCAGTAAGTAATCTCACTGTTTGCATGTATTTCAATCACTAATATTCCTGCTGTTAAATTAAGCTAGCACTAAGGTAAAGATACTAAGAATTCTTGGAAGAGAAGAGTATGCATCCATTTCCTTTTTAGAGCTGAACTTAACACTTCCTTGAGCTTAGTATATGAATGAGATTTTAAAGGGGAGGGCAGCTGTGTTTACTACATCTGTCACCTTGGAGATGTGATTGTGGGAAATCTGATGTAAGAACTTTCACTGACTCTCTATGTATATGACAGTGCTGGATTTAGGGGAAAAAAATCCTACCGGTCAAGACACACTCTCTGTTTTTTCTGTTCCTCTCATAAAGGCACATACAAGTGATTAATTTGTTACGAGAAACGGGAGCGCACCTTTCAAGCCAGGACGTGGAGAACATTGGAACAATACTCTGCAGGTAAATGTGATACAAGGTGAGGTGGCCCTAAAACTGGGATGGAGTGGGATGGTTTTTCAGAAAAGACTCCAGAATGAAGAACTTGGAAGAAACAGTTGGTTCCCTGGCATGAGGTGGCTATTTCGGTGCTAGAAAAATATAAGGAAACAAGTGAAGTGAGGAAATTAAGAATCAACTCTATGTCAAAGCACCAGTAACTCAAGAGACCTCCAAAGTAGACAGTATTGTGGAGATCAATGAACTGGAAGTAAATACACCCCATTTTTTTCCAGGGTGTTTTACTGAGGAAGGGTGAGAAAGAAGCTGTTCAAGGTGTGACTTAACAACATCTCTATTTAAAAATAAAGCTGCACATAGTGTGTCATTTTTATTGTCTTAAAATCTACTTTTCAGTTATATAGGAGTTGCTTCTATTCTAATTAGTATGTAATAAAATTCTTAAAAATAACTAAATCAAATGGACAAATGGATTTAATCCCAAAACTTGTGAACAACTGCTCAGTGTCACTATATATAATTTTAGGAGGATGTAATTCACTGTTAAAGTTGCTTTTAGTATATAACAATGTGGATAAGTATTATGAAACCAAATAGTTGTTAGATTTACTTTTTTCCAGTACTTTTTCTGACTTAAAATTACTCTTAAAAATTGTGAGAAATTTTCATGTATTTCCTAAAATACAGTTTTTACTTAATTTCTTCTTCTTTCTGTTTTTAAAAATGAAAAACACCTGAGTACTGGCCTTTGAATCAGGACTTGGCAGGAAACCATGAAATTTGCAAGGACCAGCCAGTGCTGTATAATATCTGCAAAACAAGGTCAAAGTAAAGCTTATGTGTATTCTGTGTAGAGACTGGACTCTATCCTTTGAGTAATTCTGGAATTAAGAAACACTAGCTGGAGTGTTTCCATTGTCATAACATGCTCAGAGGAGGCTGGGTAATAGGGCTTTTACCAGGAAGTTAAACTATGCTCTTCCCAGGGCACTGCAAGTGATAGGACAGAACTAAACCCTTGGTTTGTGTAGTTTCCATCTGCCAAAAGGCGAGAGGAGTGGTTTAGGGAATGACATTCCTCTGCAAATAAATTGGCCCTTTACTTAGCCCTGGTGCCAATGCAGAACCAGTTTGGGTAGCTGACCTGTCAGTAATATGTAAAAAAAAAAAAAAAAAAAAAAAAAAGTGGTTCTGATGCAGTTTGTTACAGCTTTTTAGGGAACATTTTATACCTCCATCTCCTGTTGTTCAGAACTGGTATTTTGATAATCATCAGTTCAGATATTTTGAACTTGCATTGGTGGTAGTAATTTTAGTATAAAACAATGTAGATCTTCCAAAGAGAGGGTGGGAGTGCACGTGTGCAGAGGCTGACTGAGGACTCAGCACAGAGTGCTGTATTTGGGATGAGAGGGGAAGAGGCTCTCACATTGCTGTGGGTCAGGAGCCAGGGCTGTGGCTCCCTCCCCGCTGGCAGCTGCAGTGGTGGCCATGGGCAGTGGTGTGGCCGTGGACAGGCATCACCACATGGCCTGTACCAGGAGCACAGCCAGGCAGTGGTCAGGCTTGGAGACAGGCTGTGAACAGTGGCTCTTCCCTCCACTGCTCCTGCAGAGCTTAAGTGCTTCCTTTGCTCTTGCTGTTTTAGAGGGCCTGGCACAGTCCCTTCCACCAAAGTGGACTTTTTCCACAGAGCGTTATTTAGATGCCTAAAAGTTATTAAATCTGAGAAACTGGTGTTTGTCGAAATGTCTCTGATACTTCTTCTGCAGTATCCTCAGATGACCTTACTGATACGCTCATTTCTCCAGCATGCTTGGGATCACTTCCTACCTCCTCCTTTTAAGCCCTTTCTTTGCAGGCACTGATACCTTCATGGCAGTCAACATGTTGGCATGGTCAAGCTACTTAAAGAACAAGCTATTTATGACATCTTCGCTTTGTCTGATTTGAACTGCTCTCCTACATCTCATCTATCTTGTAATGTGCCTCAAGCTGCAATTTTTACCAATCTGAATTTGTCACCAAGGCAGAATTTCAACTTCTTGGGGTTTAGAAGGAAAAAAGCTGCTTGCTTTCTGATAAGCTCTTGGTTCCTGCACTCAGCTAACTCAACATTTTCTCCTTACAGTTCTGTCTGAATCAGAAACTATAAACATGTTTTTCCTCTTTGCTACTTAGCAATCCTCAAACAAACTTCAAGAAAGGCCATGAACAGTAATTTTTGTGTTATAATACTGTCTCCTCATCTCTCTTCTGTTTAGACTCATGATTTTAGAATAGAATAGTTCAGTTGGAAGATTATGGAGATAAAAATAAATGTGTTCCTTTGGCATTGGTGGTATTTCAGAGGGAAAGGAGTACCAGCCAGAACTCAGAGTTGGACAGGATCAGTGGGAACTCTTGTGTAGGAAGTGGAGATGTACATAAGTGCAGCCAACATGATCCAGTTATTAAATCTTCCATGGTTTCATTTGCTGATGTCTTTTTTTAAGTGAAAGGTGTTAGTCTGGCTTTAAAATCACTTTGTTGATGTTTGGTATCTGGTTCATGGCTTTGTTTTGAAATGAGATCTCAATGTTAGTAATCTGTTAAAAATGTCAGAATATCTTCTCATATTGCAGTAGTATTGTCATCTGTCTGCAAACCCAAACCATGATGAGATAAGTTGGAACACTCAGACTTATTCTAAAATCTTGTGGAGTTCTGGAGTTGGTAGTCAGTTGATTTGTGTTTGGTTTTTTAAAGGAAAAAAACTTGTATAGAATTGAGATACTCTGTTTAAGTCTGTAGTTTACAAAATTAAACAGGAGCATAAAGCCAAACCAGCTTTTTCTTTCATATTCTTAGATTTCATAAAATGATATTATATACAAGGATGCAGCCTTTCAGAATAAGATACCTCTTCAGTTTGACATAAACTTGAGGGGTAAGGCTGGGAAGGAAGAATAAATATGTCTCTGCAGGAATTAGGACCAAGCTTCATGCCTGCTGTCTTTCAAAGAAGTCTGTCTCAGCTGAGAGAGATGTGGAGACACTAGCAAAGAGCAGCACTCACACATGAGTTCAGGATACAAGACGTGCCTTGTGCTGGACTTTTAACTTCTTTTTTTGAGGATTTTTGTCTTTAAAAAAAAAAGTGAAAGACTTTTTCTTCTGCTAGGCTGATGATACACCTGAAAAAAAGGGAAGTCTTTCCTGATCACTTTATGTAGACACTGAAAAAGGAGAATTGCTAGAATTGCTGAAAAAGCACAGCTTTGTGTCCCTGGGGAAAGTGAAATCCTAGTACCTGAGGAGGCAGGAGGGAACCCCAAGGTGTCATTTCTCTGTATTTATTACTTCCCAAATCTAGAACTGCATTGGCCCTTGTCCTTATAAACCCTCTGAGACCTGACCAGCTTCGGTCCTGGTCCCATGGCAGTAACAGAGCACGCATTAAACTGCAGCTTGATGCTGGTGGGGTGTGAGACACAGAATCAGAGAGCATATTTGCACTGTCACTTTCTTGATATCTTAGCTCTGTCGTCATCTTGGCTACATCAGCCTTGCTGAAACTGTGAAATGGATACATAATGACTTTTTTTTTTCTGAATGCAGGAGTATTGATAAGGCAGCATGCATAGCATTGTCTGCTGTAAAAAGTATCAGTCAGAGTTTAGTGAAATGTGTTGGGTAGTTCTTTATCACAAGGTAGGTTTTAAACATCTTGGTAAGTGTATATTGAAGTTATCATTAGTCCATTTCATGATACAAAAGTGATGGACTTGCTGCTTAGAGGTTGGATTTGTAGTTGGAATGGTCCCTGTAGTGTAAATTGAGAAGTCCTCTGTATATATTAGAGTATATGAAGTACATTTACAGTGTGTAAATGCTGCAAAATTGAAGATACTTCTGTGTATTTGGATTGCTCTAATGTCATGGAAGGAGACCACTTCACAGGTTTGACCTATGGCAGGGGGGGTTAAATTGCTCTTTCTGAACAGGTGCTATTAGGCAGTTAATTTTCAAGTAAGTGCAGCAGTCCTTATTTGTGGCTTACAGTGGTGCTAGCTGAATTGCCCTGGGTATGTAGGTTGGTAATATTTCTGAAAGTGTTTGTCTTTGTCCAAAGTGGTTTCCACTTTGCATGTGACTGAATGATGAGATTCTGTTTGGCAAATACAGGGCTTTTCTGTCCAGTGATGGTGATGCTTGTAACTCTCTAGGTAGGCTTCTTGTTTGGTTTTTTGTTAGTTCCTTAATCTGTAACCTTACAGTGTTAACAGCAAGAGACTAGTTTTTGTAAATAAAGATAATTCATGTGCTCCAGAAGTGGCTGCTAAGCAATTTCTTTGCTTTACTAATGCTTACACTTTTTTTTTATTCATACTAATTTCTTTCCTGCAGTTTCCTTACTGACCTCCCACTGAGCATCCTGTTGGACCTCCTTTGCCTTCCTCTGTTTCCTTATTGCTTCTGAGAGGCCTTTTCTTTTTGTGATGGCAGTTTTCATTAATTATTTAATGATCCTTTCCTTCATGATGGCAGACTGAAGCACTGTTAAACCTCTTAATACCCCACTAACACTTCCCTGTCCCCCAAAGGCCCCAGTGGTGGGTCATCTGGGGGGTTGCATAGAGGAACACAAAGTCAATTTGCTTTCTCTTCTCGTGCCCAGCCTCTGGGACTGCTGCAAGCAAAAGCCTCTCTCTGACTTTCTCCTCAGACTGCTGCAATTAGAGGCTTCCACTCCCCTGAAAACATATTTTCAGGTACTTAAGAGATTTAATCAACAACAGAAGTGATTTCAACCTAGCAGAGAAGTGAATGTTGCAGCCCTGCTTTCATGGTTTCTTCCACGAGTTTACCTGGCTCAGTTATTATACCCAGGAGCCCATCACCACCTCCATCCCTGATGCCAGCACAATGCCTTTCAACTCCAGCAAGCACCGTTTAAGGCAGCAAACTCTGAACTTAATAAGGGTGGGGAGGGCTCCCCCTCTCTTAATGAGATTCAACATCACTTGATCATTATCAGCATGGTTCTGCTGAAAAAATCTGCAAGCTCACAGCAGAGGTGAGGTCTGAAGCCTCACAGATGCTGGTATCCTGAGGACACCGAAGGTTGCCAGCCCAGCCTTCCCATCAGTTCATTCTCTCTGCAGGCCTGGTACAGACTCTCATGCTTTTGCATATGTACAGGCCTTTTACCAAAATGAAAGTTAAAAATGAACTTTTAAGTATTATGGATTAGTCTACTGGCAGATGTGCAGAGAAATAACCTGGTGTACACTCCTCTGAAAACTTTAGCTCGCTTATTTTATGTGATTCATTTTGATCCTTTCTATCACTTGTTACATGTGGCAGATAGAGTTCATCATTCAAATGCCTTTTTTGTTGTTTTGCTTGTTGCCCATTTAAACCTTACAAATTATCTTGTAAAACTCAAAACATATAGCTGTGTTACTGTCCATATGATATCACATAAATGTACTGTCATAACATCTGATTACGCAAACTTGTGAAGGGGGATTTTTAGTGGTTTTAAGTAAGTCCTTAGGCTGCTGGCCCATCTGCTTGTGCTCTCACTTACTCAGCTGCATCTTGACTTAGCTGTTGCCCTCCCCCCAACTCATTTCATGAGATAAATATTGTGTTGTGAAATATGAAACTGCATGACTTTTTTTTCCCCTTTGGTCATAGTCACACCCACTATGTGAAACTAGCCTGTTGTAAGTACTTATAGCACAGCCCTAATAATTTAAGGAACTGATTCATCAAGCTGTGTTGCTTGCTCAGCTATTCAAAGCTGTTGTAAGAGTGTTCCTTACCTCTCTACCCTGGCAGTCATGTTGAGCCTGTTCTGGTTCAGCATTTGCCTGCTGAGCTAATTGACATGACCCAGGAGCTCACTGGAAAATGGAAAGATTTAGGACCGATACTAATTATTCTTTTTCCAGCCTTGCAGCTAAAGGCGATGTGGATGGGTTGTATGCCTGGTCCTTAGCTGGTGCAGACCTGAAGCAAACTGGTTATGATGGCAGGAATCCCCTACAAGTAGTAAGTGTCCTGTACTCCGTATGGCGTGCTAGCTAAGTGAGCAATAATGCGCGCGCTGTCGGATAACGTTCATTTGGGAAAAGTAAATGTTGCTTTGTGGACTGGATTAGAATTTGTTACAAACTCAAATCTGGTGCTCTTGTGAAGTAATAAATAGTTGGAGCCAGAACTTTTCTCATCAATGTCAGAGGAATTAAAATTTAAATTGGATTTTAATTATTTTGTGGTAACATATTCTTACTTCCCACAAGTAAGTCTTTGCATGTCCTGGTGCACAGGATGGCAAGCCTTAATTCACGTCTCTACTTACAGGCAGAGGCTACAGGAAAGAAGGAGGTTCTTGAATTCCTTAGACAAAAGCACTGAAGAAGGTAAGATCTTGTTCTCAGGTACTGGAGTTCTGAAATGTACAGATCAACATACCTACATATGAAGAGGGGTCTTGTATTTTAGCCCTAGTTCACACTGAGACATCTTGGTTCAGCTGCAGTCCCTGTCTTGGTTTCTGATAGGACTCTGAGTACTTTAATCCTTCCTTGTAGAATGGGGCTAATGTTTATTCCTCATTCTGCCTGAACCTGGAACAGCATTTTTGTGCATTCCACAATGTGGTTCTGAACTTGGTTGGGAATGTAAAAACTACCATAATAAAACACTGAGGGTAACAATGTGCTGTCCCCTTGGCCTGTTGCAATAAATTGCCCCTCTGTCTTGCTTGCACTAGAGAGGCAATGTCTTTTACCAGGCACGATGCCAGGCCTGGATCTCAGGGTGCTGTGCCCCCAGTTCCCTTCCCCAGTACAGCTGCAAGGAAATCACAGCTCCGGGTGCAGGACAGGGTAGTGCCGTGGTCTCCCTCTTGCTCAGACCTTGGAGGCAGCTGCCTGGTTGTCCCTGACATGCAGCATGGATCTCTCTTGTGCTGCTCTCATCCAAAGTGTGTTTCCCTGGCTGTGTCCACGTGAGGCAGGTGTGTCCCTCGTGTTTAGAGCATCAGATCTGACAAATATCTCTAAGGGACATTGTTTGGGCATTTGACCTTCTCCAGTGCTGTGCCATAACTGGTAGCATTTAAAACACTCGCCTTCCATTTCTCAGAGCTCCTTTCTGATGCATTCTTGATTTAAATATCTCTTCTGCAATATATTGGCAAGTCTAGTCCAAATTTGAATATTGGGCTGAGATGATATCCTTTATTTATTAAAGCTAATACCAAATGTAGTTACAGGTTTTGCTGCGTCAGTGGCTATCCAGCCACTCTTGTGTCCCCCTTGAGAAATGTTAGTGGGGACTGCAATTCTTGAATCAAATAGCATTTTTGATTCACTGTGTACTGGGCTTCATGAATATAGGACACAGTTTTTTTGCTTTCCTTTGAAGTTCTAGTGTTTTCTTTGGTTTTAGCTGATATAGAGGAATTAGATATAATCACAGTCTCGAGCATTTAAATGGAAGTTTTCCAGTGTTCAGGATGATGGTGCCAAAAATACTTCAGAATATGAGTTACGATGCAAAGAGATTTCCATTTTCAGTGGAATAGGTCTGGAAAAATTACTTTTCTTTTGTAAGTAGGGAGTGAATGTGTTAAATCCTCAACTCTTTCATGGATCACCTCATAATTCCTTTGGACTGAGCCACCAGTAGTGTAGGCGGGCTGAAGGAAGTCTTCAGTACTGCATGAGAACTGGCTTGGCAGGCTACAAGGTATTCTATTCTCAGGAAGGTTCTGGATGCTGCCTAACTGTGAACATCCATTTTCTCTTTCTCCAGAGGCTGCAGAAGATGTTCAGTCATCATCAGAATTACCAACTCGAAACATTCATGGTGTTAAATCCTTCTGGGAGAGAAAGAAGAAGGGAACAATGGTAGCTGTGCTTGGGGCATACAGGCAAGCTAGAGCTTAGAATGATTCTTCATTTAGAATCACACTGTTTTGCTAAAAATGATTTGCTGATTTATCTTTTAATCACTTTTTTTTGAAAAGAAATTCTTTTAAACTAATGAGGCTGGAATATATTGTCATTCCTGTACAACTTCTGTTTTTATAGAGGCCTTTTGGATATTCTTATGTTAGCTCACTAACAGTATTGCAGGCACACCAAATGGAAATGCTGTGGTGAATTCATACGAAAAAACCCACAGTGGATTGTGCATTTCTGGGTTACAGCTAATAAAATCTCTGAGGAACAATGTTGATTTCACTTGGTCTGTTTTTTTTGCGATGACTTGTATCACTTCAGTTGCAATTATAGCAATTGTGAGTGTCAGTGCAAACAATTGAATCAGTCATGGGCATCTGCCTGCAGTTGTGTACTAATCTTCACCAATGTGTCACTATAAAACCTCACTTGAAATGAGTAGGAGGCAGATGCCATAAAGCATGTTTGTGGGACTGCCTAAGTGAATTGATTGTTTTGTTTCTAATAGCATCTTTCCCACATCCTGACCGGAACATAATCAGGATTGCTACATGCTGGACACATAATTCTTTGGACCGTAAACGGGATCTCAGTATTAACAAGACCCCAAGTTTAAAGTCCTAACACTTTCAGACTAAAGAAAGAAGGCAGTACATATCTTTACAGCTGTGTCTGCCCTAGAATATGTAAACACAGAGAATACTTCAGGCAAATGCATATATTGGCGATGGCAACTTTTAATTTCACCTACAGCTTCTGCAGTAATCTATGGGGATTTTCTATCTGCTTCATCTGAAGGGAATCTTTGAAGTGCAGATAGTTTTTTCTTTTTCCTCTTTATACTATTCAGTCTTCCCACAGCTATTCTTATCATGGAGGAAAGCTGCATGGACTACTTGCTGAGCCTGTTAGTATTAAAAGATTCCCAAGGTATGTTGCATGTTAGATCCCACTAAAACAAGGTAACTGTGCATGTAGTCTAAAAAAGTGCCGTATACACTCCAGTTAAAACAAAACTAAACCATAAAATGCTTGTTTAATATGAAGAGTAGTGCATCTCTTCACTACAGTCACAAAAATTACAACTACGCTTTCTCATTATTAAATAGTTGGTATTATGTTGCAGTAAACATGCTTTAGATTGAATAAAGTGAATACAAAATAAAGTAAATGAGATCTAACATCCAAAATCAGGCATCAAATTTATTATCTTTCTGGTGTCTTATCTGTAAGTACATAAAGGTGATATATGTAGCAAGGTAATCTGTGTGAAAATTTTTACCATCAGGAGTAAAATCATGCACAGACTCTTCTTCCTATGGTATTCACATCTACTAACTTAGCTCTTGCTTTGTCAGTAGTCTATCTAAATGTTGATGCACTGAACTGTCAAGTCAATCCCTTGATAGAATTCTCTACAAGTGACTTCCTTGGCATTGGAATATTTTCTGTTTTTTTAAGGATTCTCAGATCCAATCATTTATCCATAACAGCATCCATTCTTTACTTCTGTACCAAAATGACTGACTGCAACATATATAGAAGTGTCAATATTTTCCTCATACTTTTCAATAAAAGGTCATCCAATCTATAGAAAACTTTCTAAACAATAACTTCTTATGTTTCTAAAATACAGTATCCATCTAAAGTACAAAACATACTTTTTCTGTTGAACAAAAAATGATATTCTGGTGTGAATTACTGAAATGACAGGTCTCAACAGTAAAACTGCAGGAGAGACAAGAAAATGGCCAATCATTTTGGTCCTGCATATAAGCCAGGTAAAGACACAAAAGACATCTCTAGATGTGATCCAGTGAGAAGACTTTTATTTAGAAGCTCATGAAGATAAAAGGAAATTGTTTGGGTCCTGATTACAGTAAGGATAAAGCAGTATTAACTTCTTTCTGACACAGCTTTACAGAAACATATATCCTATTACTATGACATCTTGCCTAAGATAATGTTCATGTAATCTTCTAGAAAATTTGTGATTTGCCTTATAAATAGACCAATATGTTTTAATGGCAGACACATGAAGGTAAATTTAATGTTTATCTGAGGAACAACTCGATCTCTTTTATATGTGTCAAAATTTCGTTCAAGAACTGTGAACCGTCTACGAGTGTTAAGAGAAACTGTGTATAGGGTGCTGTGATTTAAAAAGTGGCAAGAATCACCCACTCAAGACCAGAAACTTCAGCTCTTGATTTGGTGTTGGGGATGAACTTCAGTAACGCTTTGGAAATCCTGTTTTTGTCTTGTTCATCTACAACACCCTTTGCTTAATGCAGTGGATTTAATAATCATAATTATACTTCCTGTGATAACTCCCAGTCTTATGATGAATCTATTTGTGTGTAGTAACCCTTAAGCTTTGCATAGTTATTGCTCAAAAGTAAAATCTTAATATTAGTAAGGAATGAAAATTGTTCCTATTTGTTTCTACTTATTTCAGTTGCTGTAAGCAGCAGAGTGTCTTTCATTAGTTAAAGTATGCTAGACATTCCAGAGGCAGCTTAATTTTTTAAAACATCCTATTTTTTCTCCCTAGATCATTCTTTAAAAGATCTAATACACTTATTTTTGTCCAGCAATCTTCTGCTCGGTAAAAGGTTGCAGATTAAGGAGCTGTACAGGGCCATTACTAATGCAAACACCCCCACTCCATTGCCAGGACTGACTGTGGGTCTGTTTCGTAACTTCTCGAACAGCTTTAACTCCAGTCACCCGTGAGGTCCATGCACCCTTCCATACCTACATCCAATTACAGTTTGGGAGACCTAGCACATACTGTGAGGATCATCTGCAGATCTGTGCTTGGTCTTTCTTAGACAGTACCCATTGGAATGGCATGGTGGAAGCTGGATAAGTTACTTTTGCCTTTTTTTTTTTTTTTTTCCCTTTTTTGTGCAGAAAGGCTTGTGATATTTTTTAGTCTCAGTACTTAATTGGAACATAAAGGCATTTTAATTTCTGCTAGGACACGGCAGTGGCTCCCATTCTTCTCCAGCTTTAGTCTAATAATGCAAGTGATTGGGCTGTAGTTTTCCTTGCCCTGCAGAATCACCACCAGGTGAAAGGCCATGCCAGGGAAGTGCACGAGCTCCAGAGACAGCCTGCACCTGTGTGAGCCTCAAGAGAGACTCGTGCGGGTCTGGGACCATCCTGCTGCATGCAATTTCAGCAGTGACCATAGAACAGCATAATCAATAATGTGGGAATCGTAACTCCTGCACAAACGCTGGATTTATTTCCAGCGTTGAATCCTCTCAGTTGCAGTGATGTTCTGGGAATGACTGCTAGTGCTGGAACCTCTGCTGCCTCTCCATGGAGGAGACGCTATGAATGCCTCCTCTAAAAGTCAAACATTACATCAATTCTACAGCTTTCTTCACTTGAAAGACAACACCCAGCTTCCACTTTGTTTCTTTTTCCTAATGATCCAGCTAATACTGCCAAGGGATAGGGACTACTTGGCCTATGTCAGCACCTCTCTAACACTGCAGAAAGCAGAGATTTGCACAACTAACATGTCCAAGTTCCTGTCTGATTTGAGCTACAGCTTTCCTTTCCTAAATGCAACCACTTTATTTTTTACTGATGGCTGAAAATATTAAGTTTCTGTTTGAAGATCTCTTATAAAGCTTTTGTCATGGAAAGGCATTCTTAATTACTTAAAAAATCAGCATGTGCTCCCTATCTTATTCCACGTCCTCCTGGTAAACTGTTAACATCTGACAAGGCTGGCTGACCCCCAACAGATTGACTGTGTCTGATCGGTACTTGCTGAATTAAATCAGCTGTTCAGCAAAGCTTCAGTATCTGCTCCTTCTTCTTAAATTGCTAAATAACTCCAGTTCTGCACGTCTTAACTTAGAATTACTATACTGTAGCATGTCTCAGTTGTCTCATTCAAGGATTTTGCTGTTCAGCAGTGAGTGATAATGAAATCTCTCATCTGGAACTAAACCCCTCCTTGAATCAGAGTTTCTTTATTTGCAGTCTTCTGAATGTTGTGAGCTACTGGTATGCTTACAAAAAGATTGTGATCTCGTTGGAAGATTCCTCCATTTTTAAGGCTTGTTCAAATAGTGAGATGAGTCAAGGAGGGAAATGCATCCTTTGGTCATAGACAACAAAGTGTGCCCAGTTCCATTTACACACAAAGCATAAACGGACCCAGAGCATGATCAAGTGCAGCCATAGGTGTAATCCCCTTCTCCAGCCACCTATGCTGATCCCTGCATAGGACCTATTACAGCAATTAAGAAACAAAATGCTTTTAGTTTCCAGCAATACAATTTGTAATTCACTGAGATAAACCTGAAGTAATTGTATGATGGGTGAAACCAAGAAATTTATAAAGAACTGATCAAACGTGCACAGCATATGTTATCACAAGCATTGCTGATATGTTTGTGTCTCTTCCAAGTGGACTCTATCAGCAGTATAATCATCTTCTGGACTAGTAAGACTAGTCTCCCCATGATTCTTTTACCAATGTTTTATGACACAGTAGTGTTTGATTGCATGGTTGTAACAACACTTTAATTTTAGTGACTCTTTTAGAAAAGCTACTAATGTAGAAAGCTTATAAGGTATGTAAAGTACTCTACTGAGCCATACAAATGAATCTGTGGGACTCAAATGTTGCCATCTTAGATAGTCTGTGAGTCAGAATAAAATCTGGTACTACCAGATTTATTATTTTGCAAAGTGTCTACCTGAAAATTACTTTAGAAACTTCATTATACATACATTTGTTTACCTGTGATCAGCTGAACGGTAAGAGGCAGAAGCCTACGTCTCAAAAGTGTAGCCGAGGCCAAGTATCCCGAATCATGGCAACAAAATGAAAAGTCTGGTGTGGACCACACAAAGCAGCATTACTTAACGTGGCTCTGTTTGGAAGAGCTGATACAAATCTCACGGCCAAAGGATTTGGTCCTTGATGTCCAAATCTGTGTTGCTGTCTGACCACAACTGATGTACCAGGAGGATATAACAAATGGGGCCCATGCTCCTCGCAGGCTCTGCTGGCAGGGCAGGGGCAGTGCCCCTCTCCCCCTCACCCAGCCCTGCCAAGGCTCTCCTGTTGGGACACGCTCACCGGTGCATATCTCGCGCACTCCCACTGGCGTTTGGAGCTTCACACTGGCACCTCCCTCCCACTCCAGGATGCTGCACATCAGAGGGAGATGTCAGCCAAACCCATGGGAAGGCGCCAACCAACAACATCCTGCAGCTTCGCTCTGCAGCCTCCCCTGC